GTACCGCAACTTTAGGCGATATTCAAAGTCAATCTCAGTCTCGAACACGGCGAAGCTTGTCCCATAGTGTTTATCTCTTGTCACAAAAAACGCCGCTCGTTCTATCGGATTTGCGGCAATCCTCGAACCTGCTTTCCGTGGCTGTCTATATAATCCTCTAACTCTAGGGCTCATCATTTACAAGATAAAATCGTATTATTTACTAGATAGACCTTGTGAACAGTTACTCCTAAATATCCCGCGTCCAATAATATTTTAGTACTTATTTTAAACACCGTCCGAACAGTTCATATAATAAAATCAATTATATCAATGAGAGTTGTAAAGCGAGATATTAGTAATATCAGAAGGCGGCGGCGACATAAAGGGTCGGGCCCTTTGGTATCGCTGGGTGGAGTCGCCAAGTCGCTAAACAATGTCACCCTCATAATCTTCCGCCGCGCGTTACTATGACGTCACTACCGCTAGATCCTTCATGGATTTAGATAAGAATTATATAGCTTAGGATCACCTGTTTTGCCTTGTGGTTGAGCCTAAGTTATAGTCCAGGGTGATGGGTGTCCTTTAAATATGCCATATAATAAAATATTAGAGCGACAAAGGTATTAATACTATCCTCCCTTCATTTCCAGGTAACCGCTCTTAAGATCAAGCATAATCCCTTCGCCAAGGCTTTCCTCGACTCCAAGGAGCGCCCGGATCTCCAGTCCCAGCGAGACATTATGGCCTCCTACCCGCAGCCCCACCACCAACAATGTAAGTATCTCTACCTCACTCCTGTGCCCTTTGCTTCCGCTGATATTCGTTTTAGAATGGACCTCACTCATAGCTTGAGGATATAAGTTTATTGTAATAATGTCATTATAGCTTATAGATGTTATAATTATACTAATATCACAAGCTCCACCCAGTCTACATCTATCCAGTCACGCTCTCTGATCATGGTACTAATCAGCCAATCATTTTCCCGTAGATGGCTGGTACATGGGAGGCGGAGTGTGCGGTGGAGGCGTGGCCTACGGACAGACTCCTCCTACCATGGGTCTGGCTTCAACCCCCGCAAGCCTCTCGTCCCGCATCGCCATGAGGAACCATCGCGTTGTGCCCTACACTTCCCCCACCCCCCGTGCGGCAAGAACTCCACCAGGTAAGCACATTCGATGATTTATTTGACTGTTTATTCATGTTATATATTTTAAATATGTTTAAAGGGTGTTCATTTAATACATACTATTGCCATCGCTGCCTGCCGGGAAAAAGTGTTTAGCCAATTGATAGTGATCTCAGCTGATGAAAGTCACATCCGGAATATTTAACCGTCGGCGTTCCTTAGCCACTAGTAGGCCGAACGATCTATTTCAAGGAGGGATGGGGGTTAACCTGATTTCTGTATTTTAAATTGTTACAACTAGAATTTAATTCAGTATCGCATTATACATTACAGTCTTGCGTTTATTTTTACGATGCTGAACATAAATGGTCGAGTAAACAAGAAAAATACTTTGATTGATACCTAGTCATCTTGGCAAAGTGCAGATCATGTCCGATATCTGTTCCATTCCCTCACATGGGCGAATGTCCCTTGCTTTCCCATTGAAATTTAGAGCTTAAATGTCTCTGTACGTGTGTCCAGATTGATCGTAAGTTCTTTCGGTCCCTTTTACGACACTCGATCAGGCTGATAACGTTCGTACGATTCTCAGTGATCGATGCGTATAAAGACGCAACCCTCAGCGGGTGCTGAGCCACAGTCTAGGAACAATTAATGTTGCATCTCGGGAGTTGTTCTTGATGATAAAATAATTTTTTGATATACAATAATTTATTAACTTTCCGGTAATTTAATCATAGATGCCTTTAAACAGTCGATTTAAAGTTGGGCGCCACGAAGAATTCGTAGTTCAAGTATAGGCCCTTGTTACATTTTAGTGACCAATAAATTAATTACGCGCACAAGTTTGCCCAAGAGATCTAGCTGGATTATTGTAGCGGTCGATGGCAGTGCTAAGGGGGCCTCGGGCAGCCGACCATTCACTTGTTTGTGCCTCTTACACACATCGTTTTATTGTTCTGCTGATGCTACATGTAGGTCACAATGAACGCCAGTCCTAACCTTGTTTTTTCTTTTATAGTGAACACCGTGGCTCAACAGCAGGCTGGAGTGGGATCATACGGACTCGCAGGACTCGCTGCTGAGTGGCGTCAGCAACCCTGGGGCCACCACCACCAGCCCTCCGTCACCGGTGCCCCTGCGACACCTGCAACGCCCGCACACTACCAGTGGGCTGGCCTGCAGGGCGGATATGCACACCATCCTCATCACCATGGCTCGGGACTGTATCAGACCTACCAGCAACCCGGAGTTGTAGGAATGGGACTAGCCAACGCTGCCACGGGAGCTGTGCCGGCACACCCAGCTCAGCATGCTCAGCGCTCACCCCAGGAGGCACTCACACCTATGGGCGTCTACAGCGATACATCTGTTCCCCAGGGGTACACC